TGGGCTTCCGAAAGCAACGTTAGGCATTGTGGACCGCCCCCAAACCCCTCTCGGCAGCTGGCAGGCCTGCCTCTTCTCTTGGCCTGTCCCAGGCCTGCCTCTTCTTTCTTATGGGCTTCCCAAAGCAACGTTGGGCATTGTGGACCGCCCCAAAAGAGTTGTCACCCGCTACGCTGCCATGTCTTGTTCTTTCTTCGGCGCGCAGCATGCAATTGGTTGTCTTGTCGATTGTGCGTGTTTCCTTTTTCGCCCCCGGGGTGAAGCTAAAACACCGGCAGCTGCGCCACAGGCCACAATCATCAAACATTCTGAGATGGCAAAACATCGTTCGGTTCTTCCCCAACAGTCTCCCGATGACTCTAAATCCTGCAACAGGGCAACGACTAGACAAAAAGGAGCTTGCGGGGCCAGCCGCGCTTTTGCTTCAACACCCTATTTGAGAGCACGTTTGTGTTTTTTTGGGGAATCCAGAGACCATGTTGCGACCGACTTCTCCAGCTCCAGCTAATCAACAAAACGGACGGAAGATGTTTGATGGACAAAAAATCAGGCACGCCATATCTGAGACGTCTGAGACGCAGGGATCTGGATTTCTGCGGCCCCAAAAAATATCCAACGAAGCAACACGACAAGGGAACCCCAAAATACCTTGAGATCTTCGGGGTACGGGTATGATATTGGATCAAGAGGCCAACTCCTGTACTGGTCGCCACAGCTAGCCTGTCCGACGCCACGCAGCCTTGGCATGGCCTGAACTGCCACATACGATGCTAACCGACGAAGCCACCCTCTTCTTTTCTAGGCTTCCGAAGCGACGGCCCCCCTCAAACGCTTCTCGGCGCCTCGCAGGGTGCAACCTTGGCATTGGCATCTCCACCTTTGTGGGCTTTAGCGCAGGCCACAGCTAGCCGTCCGAGGCCACGCAGCCTTGGCATGGCCTGGGCTGCCACGTACGGTGCTAGCAGCCGAGGCCAGCCTCTTCTTTTCTAGGCTCCCAGGGCGACGGCCCCCCTCAAACGCTTCTCGGCGCCTCGCAGAGTGCAACCTTATTGGCATTGGCATCTCCACCTTTGGCCTTCAGTTACACATGCTACACTCCTCTTGAAAATGGGTCGGCGGCACCCGGGCGAAGCCCTTACAATATAGATATCCAGTGGCCATGTGTACTATGTACACCAGTTTGGCCGCTGGGTCACAAGCACAACACATCAGCAAACCTTGGCACTAGAGTAAACCGGAAGACAGTCACTTCTTGCTTTGCCAGGATGTTCAAAAAAAGCAGCAACAGTGCGGCCGCCTCTTGCGGACCCATGCTCACTGGTCATGGTATAAACATCTGAAAACCAAATGCTGGATGAACACTGAGCACGCCAATGCGTAAAAGTCACAAAGCAGGACCTCGTGGAGGACCCCAACCTTCAAGCTTCTCAGTTCACATCGCTTCCTTCACTTGCGCCTTCTGCTAGAGATTCCAACATTGCGAGTAAAAGGTGAATAGGATCCAGGCTTGGTCTGGCGGAGACTGCCGAGCCTGCACTGTCAGCTCAACATGACTTGACCAGCTGGCCCTATTAACTCTACCAGCTGGCCCTATGTTCTGCACGATTGAGACCCCTTGACTTACGTAAGTTTGGTTTTGGTCCAAGTTTTGAGACGCCTCCACCAAGAGCAGGGAACTGCTCGGCAGTGGTCGCATTGGCCTGGACGTGTGGGTAAGACATCACACCGCATACCGGATACATCCGGATACCCGCATAGCCGCATAGCAAAATAAAAATATATCGTAAGTGACAACTATGCAGCCTCAAACAGAAAAATATTTGATGAACCACTAGATACCACTAGTAACAAGTGCATCACTACTAGTAACAAGGGCATTACTAGTAGCAAGAAACTACGAGTAACAAGTGCATCGCTACCAGTAGCAAGTGCATTACTACATATTACTACTAGTAACAAGTGCGTCCCTGCTAGTAACAAGGGCATTACTACTAGTAGCAAAAAGTTCATAGTTCATAGTGGGGGAAGTGATTTTCAATTATCAAAATAACTGGACACCCGCGAGTCTGCGAGCCTACAAGTACAAACTGAACAAGGAGTCCAACCCTCAAAATGCATCAAGTGATGATTTGTCACCTCCTGCCTGAAATTCAAGCAGAGGAGAAAAGACTGCTTACAAACATAGTCCTTTGTACACACACATGATCACACATGTATTGTTTTGTATTTAAAAAAATAACTACATATATATATATATATTATGTACATGCAATGCTTAAAGTTGCACATTGTGAATCCAATGTTTGATGTGGAATGTCTATTGCTGTTGTACATCCGCAGCTTCCAACCTCCCGGCCATGTCCAGATGCTATATCTGCCCAACCTGCAATGAGCAAACTGTCATGCAATGCATCTCTTCTGGTGAAAACAATTGAAAGCAGCTTCCAAATCCAAACAGATTGAACAATTCTTATCTTATCCAATGAGTCTAATGTTCAATACAAGCCTGCTGTCAGATTAGTGTACAGTATAACAAAAAACACAAATGACCTGAATTTGCTCTTTGCCTCTGGCATGCCGTGCCAATGAACCCATCTCAGGCTGAGCTGAAGCAACCTTGGCTGACAGTTAGTCCGCTACCCGCTGCCCACTGGAACAGTCTCCAACAGTCTCCAAAGAGAAGGTGAAGTCTCACTTCAAAGGTCAAAGATCCCAACTGCATTGCCCGATGCACTGTCGCTGAGGGATGGAAAGACCTGCCAATGTACACGGTTGATCTTGGCTTATGAAACATGCTAAGTCAAGGAAGGTAGGTAGATCATGTACCCCCTCTTCTTGACGCATAGCGCATGTCTGATCATGAAAAACAGTCGATATCTTGTTCGTGATTCTAAGTCTCTGTGCATCGCGTGCTGCTGCGCGCACTGCTTTTCCGCTGATGTAAATTGAGGCAAAAAGTGCACCTAGTGAACAGGCGAGGTGTATGCATCACGAACAGGTTGCTACATCTGCAAATTCACACTGGTTATGTTTTCTTTTAGTGATGCACCCTCGGCTGTCAGCTGCGTGTGCGGCTGATCTAGCCATGAACGAAGCTGCTCTCTCAGCTGCTTGGTGGCCTTTGTGAGGCCGTCGGCGAACATGACGCCCGTTGGGCACCATCTCATCTGCTTGTCCTTGATGAACTCCTGGATGCTGCGGATGTCCACATAGGTCCGCTTTTCTGTGGTCTTCGGGCGCTCCGCCATCACGGCGTCGAACAAGGACTTGCAGTCCGTGACTTGCAGCTGGTTGAGCCGCCAGCTGCTAAGGTCCTTCTGGGGCCTGTCTCCGGTGAGCAGCTTGGAGAGCATGAGGTTGCTGAATTAGGTCCTGTCGACACAGTCGTCGCAGGCTGTTGCTTCGCTTGCTATAGGGTCGAGCGACAGACCCTGCTGCTGCGGTTGCTGCGCCAATCGATGAGATTGGCCTTGGTGTTGACCTCGCTGCAATGCGGGGTTGTGAGCAGGACCAAAGCTCCTTGTTGTGAGGAGCACTGCTGGGCGTTTGCCCAAGAGGAATCTGCAAAGCCCACTAGGGCGCTTGCTGTGTTGATGGCCACATCTTGGAACACCAGTCCTTGGTGCTTGGTGGAGCGGCAGTATTCCAAGGTCTCGTAGAGACTGGCGAGGTGTGAAGGAGCTGTATCTCCTCCATGGTTTGCCAGGCTGACTCCATGCTGCTATGTCGGGTCTTGTTTGGCTGCTTAGCCATTGGAGGCTGCCCGTCACTGACCTGAACTCGGTCTGTTCGGCTGTCGTCAAAGGCGGTCCTGCAGCAATGCGCCCACGCTGAACTTTGCCGCTGTCGGTGTTCTCTATGAACTTGGTCTGGGTGACGTGCAGGTGGAGCGAGCCGTTGGTGACCTTCTTCAAAGTCAGCTCTTTCCCTTTGAACTCCAGGGTTTGCTCCATCGTCAGTTCCTTCTGGCTTCCCCATGTGAAGAGGGTGAGGAGCTCTTCCTTTGGGTAGTCGCGGCGGCAGGTGAGGAGGAAGTCGTCAACGTAGACGATGCAGGCGGCTGCCAGTTTGCCGTCGACCCTCTTGTAGAAGAGCATCTTGTTCGAGATGGTGTTGGCGGAAGCCAATGAAGAGCATTCTCTTCACCACTTCTTTGAACCACGTCCTTGGTGCACTTGCGAGGCCGTATATGTTCTTGAGCACGAGTATAGCTTGGCCTTGAATGTGCCGGCTCTGAGAGTTATTTCATCTCGTGGTGGTAGTAAGCAGAGTGGTTCCGGCCTCTCTTCGATCTCGAAGCTGCCTTGCATGAAAGCTGTGCTTACGTCTCCAGCCCATAGGAGCCAGGGAACGGGGTCGTTCTCCATGAGGTGATTGGCTCCTGCTATGTAGATGCTGAGGAGGATGTACTCGCTGATGCGCATGGGCATCGGAGAGTCCTGGGAGATCCGGCGCAGATCTGGATCCAGGTGCCCTAAGGCAACAACTCTGGTTTTTGCCTGCAGTTGATCTGGGATCTTGCTTTTGTTTCTGTAGCATGCCCTGCTTCTTAGGACGCGTTTGCGTCTTGCTGGATTGCTCATGATGGCTGCGGCCTCATCATCTGGCACCGCTTGAACGGAGCCCCAATTCATCCAGCCACGTTCTTCTTTTTGGTTGGACTGGATGTAGGCTTCGATGTCTTTTGGCGGTAGCTTCAAAATGCTTCGCCATGGGACCTCTCTTTCTAAGGCCTTGGCCTCTTTCCTTGTTTGGAGTCTGGTGGCTGGGTCCGTGTCATCATCTGGACCTGAGGAGTCGTCAGACTCTGGTGGTGCCTGTGCAAGGTCTGTGAAGAGGACTGCGTGTCCCTCTGCCTGTAGCTGTCTTGCTGCAGCTGCTGCAAACTGTGCGCAGTGCATGTCTTCGTAGTATCTTGTTGGAGGTGAACTATCCCATGTGTGGTGTGGTGGCTCGATGCTGTCATGCTGTTCCATGAGCATTGCTTCGAAAGTTCGCTTTTGAGGTAGGTGAGGTAATGCTTCGTGATCTTGTCTTGCAGTGGTCGCAGTGTCTTGTGCTGCCTGTGGTTGTGTACTGGATGCCGCTGCTATTCCAGACTGCTCTGCGTTGCTTGATGTAGAGCTTGAGAACTGTTCGGTGCTGGCGCCCGATGCTGGGCCTGTTTGTTCTGCTGACTTGCGAATTCGTCTGTTGGTCGGTGTTCTCGACCTTGCCGTGCGAGTGAGTCCATAGCGCCCTGGGTGGTAATCCAGAGGTGTGACAGCTTGTCCTGTAGGCGATGTCGGGTAGGAGTGAATGTGGATGTCGCCTTCCACGTTCATGGTAGTAGTTCTGGTGTCTTGCTGGATGTACTGTTCAGCAAGTTGTTGTACTGCCTCAGGCCTTGCCGAAACACGTGGTGTTGTCTGTGTGTCAGTCGTTTGTTGCTGACGTGTCTGCTCCTGCTGCGCCTGCCTCTTTTGAGGCGGTGGTGCAAGAGGTAATGCCAGGGGCTGTGGCTGCTCTGCTTCAGCTTCTGCAGCTGCCGTGGTGTCGTGCTGCTCTGCTCATGCTTGTGGTTGGTCTTCCAGCCTTTCCAGCGGGTACTCATAGGAGTCTTCGTCTGCTGGAGGTGCTGTTGTGGAGTGTTCTTGCCATAGGTCTTGGCGTATGTTGGCTGCTGCATCCTTGAGGGTCTGTTGATCCTCTCTGGTCGGCTGCCAGTGTTCAAAGCCAACTGCGCCACGTAGCTGTTCCAGTGCCACGTGAACTGTTGTTGTGCCGGAGTGCAACCATGCACTCTTGTTGTCTGGGTCGTAGGACATGAATCGTACCATGATCCATGCCCCTTTCTTTTTGGTGCTTCGTCCTTTGGGGACCTGCCAGCGCCAGTAGGCGCAAGGTTGACCTGGTCGAAGGTCTCGCTGTAGCCCTGGTGCTGTCTTGCGCAGGAGTGCCCTGCGAAGTGCTTGTGATGTATTGATGTCGGCCAATGCTTTCATGGCCTTGGCTCTGAGTGGCAGACCAAAGCCTTGTCGTCTTGCAGGAGGCCTGCGGCTATTCTTGGAATCTGGCCAAACACGGCCATGTATGGAGGTCGCCCGTGGGAGTATGTCATCGAGTTGAGGGCATGGATGGAGGCATCATGCAATAGCCTGGTCAAAGTCGGTTGTGGTGAAAATGGATTCGGCATCCACGATGCGCTCGAGAATGTCTCTGAGGACGCTGTTGCGTCTCTCTATCAGGCCAATCCTCCAGTGGGCCTCGGCTGGGATGTGTCCAGCCAGATCCCACGTCTTTCGACGTACTGCTTGAAGTTCAGGCCGTAGTTGGTTCCTGGTTCGGAGCGGATCACCCTTGGAAATCCGTATGGTTTGAGCCACAGGTTTAAGTCTCTTCCTTTACATCCGGGTGTCCTAAATGCATCTGGGTGTCCTAAAATTGGCTTGTCATAGAGCCCATGACGGCTCCTTTACTGCCTTCCATGAGAGGAACAGGTACAGGATGATGCTAGACCAGAAAACACAGCAAGGGATAGCTCAAGGAACCCCGTTCCTTAGAGAAAGCAGGTCGAACAGAACTATGATGGCGGCAGAGTGAGCTCAAAGAGCTGATGAGCGATCACTCGGCGATCACACTTAAACCAAGAAGGAGTGTGAAGCCTTTGCAATACAGCTCACAAGGTGCGAACAGATGCACACTTTCATGTTATTTTCTCACTGGACCGCAGCCCTTTGAGGGTGAAGAAAAAGTTCGCACTAAACAAAATATATACTAGTAATATACATATATATATATGTATATCTACAAGTGTATATATATATATATGTATTTTAAAAACCATGCATACCTCACAGCACTTCACCTCGCATCGCATCACACCCGCATGCACGCATGCACGCGCACAAAACAATACCAAATGCTAAGTGTTTGTCCCTGGACGCGTGCACTTTCAGTATTTGGTCCTTGACCACCGTCCGTTTTTCTTTTCAGGCGTTTGATGTATAAAAAACCATGGCTCCACATCAGAAACTTTGAGCATAAGGTTCAAACTGAAAAGTTCACAGTTGCCAACAATTCGCCCTTTTTTTCTTCGGTTGAAGGCCGCTCCAAGACTCCAAGGTCGCTGCCACAAGGCTTCGAAAAACTTCACGAGACATTGCCACGTGATTAGTCCACATTTTTGTCGTCCGTGAGACATTCTTCTTCACCCCCTTCCTCAGCACCATCGTTCAACCCTTCGGGTTCCTCTGTATCAGGCAGGGCTGGAGGCTGAGGATTCGATGCGTTGCGAACAGCTGCACACATAGTTTCCTCACAGAACCGTAAAGGTTGAAATACTCACAGACAACTGGTTCACCCACCCAAGCATTGAATGGCGAACAATCCTAGCAAGAAACCACATGTAGGCAAGATACAACAAGGTCAGACACAGTGGTAATTGTGGCGCCCTTCAAAAACTCCAGGCGCGCTGCTTCCTGAGTTCTCAAAGCTACCACTCGCGAATTCATACCTGAGCACTGCAAGCTTGAACCACTAGCCAAGGCACTGCGATCTCTTCAAGCTTCTGAGCCGATACCCCTTCATGAGGTTTCACCTCAAGGGATATTTTTTGCATCACCATTCATGATTGCCCCAAATGTATTGAAAAATATATGCACAGACGGGTGACTGTGAGACTGGATCTTAGATCTTTAGTGCAATAAAAACAAATATGATTTTGGACATCACCCGCTGCCCTTCATCTTAATGCCCCAGACTCCATCTCGGGTGT